TTTTGTGATGTATATGAAGCGAATGATGTTAACAAAGCTTACAGTGCTTTTATAGAGACAGTTATTTTGTTTCATAATCTTTGTTTTCCTGAAAAATTAATGACCATTAAATTTAATAAAAGACCCAAATGGATCTCACAAGGTATTCGATTGTGCAGTAAACGAAAGCGACAACTGCTTTGGAGGTACAGATCTTGTCCAACCAAGGAAAATAAATATCTGCTCCGAACTTATTCCCAAAGATATAAAAAGATTATAAAGCTCACACAACTTTCACAAAATAACCATTATATCAGCACATCTGTTAATAAATCTAAAGTAGCGTGGCAAGTTATTAACAAAAATAAAAATCAGTTCCCTGCAGAAACAGCGCAACTAGTTTATAATGAAGATGGTGTAAAAGTAAGTGATCCAACAAAAATGGCAAATTTATTTAATAATCACTTTGTGGATTCAGTACAAAAAGCTAACAATAGTGGTCGTTCTTATTCACAGAGGTTTTCCGTGTTTAACTCGATATTTATGCCTCACAGTACAATCGAGTTGGTACTTAAAACCATAAAATCATTAAAAATTACGCAAAGTGTTGGAATAGATGGTATTCCTACTAAATTGGTTAAGGAGTTTTCTAAATATTTAGCATCCCCCTTAAAACATGTAATAAATTTGATGTTTGATTCCGGCGTGTTTCCTGATGCGTTAAAAATTGCTATTGTTAAGCCAATATATAAAAAAGGAGAACACACTAACATAAAACGCTATAGACCAATAGCCCAATTAAATGTTATCTCAAAGATATTTGAAAGAATTATCTGTGACAATCTTTACCAATATTTTGAGAAATATAACGTATTTTGTAAAGAGCAATATGGTTTTAGACGAGATAAAAATACAAATATGGCAATTTATCATTTGTTACAGTCTGTTATTAATTCTGTTGATAAAAGACAACATGTATGTGTGATATTTATGGACAGGACAAGCGCATTTGATCATGTTGATCACAGATTGCTGCTGGACAAGCTTTACTCATATGGTGTAAGAGGTTTAGCACATGATTTGATAAGGTCTAATCTCAGTAACAGGAAACAGTATACTGTTATAACAAAGTTGTGTAGCAAATCGGGAATGATAAAGACATTTTCATCAGTTTGTAGAGATGTGGAAGTAGGTGTACCACAAGGCAGCATAGTAGGACCTTGGTTTTTCAATGTGTACATAAATGATCTATCAACTGTTATTGATCACCCTATCATAATGTTTGCCGATGATAGTGCTGCCATAATCAAATGTGATAACATCCTCACTTACGAACAAAAAATAAATGTAGATCTGAAAAATGTTAATGGCTGGTTAAAATTAAACAACCTAATACTCAATACTAATAAAACAAAAATAATGCATTTTAGGCAAAAAACTCACAAACCGAATGTAACTTTAGATATTAATGATGACATAATTGAATCAGTCTCTGACATTAAATTTCTAGGTGTACAAATTGACTATCAAATGAATTGGAAATCTCATACTGAGATGCTCTGCAAAAGGTTATGTTCCTCTGCTTACGTCATGTTCAAGCTTTCTAAGATAGCAAACACCAAGACCGTCGTAATGGCCTATCATGGATGTACAGAATACATATTACGCTATGGGTTAATATTCTGGGGCAATTCTACAAATAAAATAATGGTCTTTAAAGCGCAAAAAAGATGCATCAGGGCTATTAACGGTTTAAAGTCTACTGATAGTTGTGAGGAGGTCTTTAAGCAGTTGAAAATTTTGACATTACCTTCCTTATATATTTATGAAGTTGCAGTGTTCGTCAAAAATAACTTCCTTATGTTTCCTACATTTATAGAACAGAATTCGCATAGGAACTATAGACGAGGGATAGGGAATACATTATGTGCAATGGAACGAAAAGCTGCACTATTTAGCAATAGTGTCTTTGGGATGGCTACTACAATTTTTAACAAAATACTCAATAATATAAAGAGTTTGCCAATGAATATTTTTAAGAAATGCTTAATGAAATTATTAATTGACAAAGTATACTATAATATACAAGAGTTCCTTAGTGACACTTCCTTGAAAGAAATGGACATAATTACGTAATTTACTTATATTTTAGTCTATTATAGCACAATTTATTATTATTATTTATTTTTAGTTTGACATATTGCTTAGTAATTTTGACATTTAATTCTAACTATGACTTGTTTTATTGTAATTGTAATTTATTAATATGGATTTTTATATAATTGTAAACCTAATTATTTCATAGAAAATATTGTATACCTTGTAATAAGGTCGAAATGTAGTGACACTAAACTGTTAACCTCACACCAATTTGCTGTACTAACCTACATTTCACAATAAAGCATTTGAATTTGAAGATATCGCAATAACGCATCCGATATTACCGACCGATAATAATGCGCCTATGGGTTAGGCCTTAGTTTGAAGTTTGACTTAAGTTGATGCTATCACTCTCTTGGTGATAAAAATAGAACGAGACAACACGCGACTTGATGCAGCATTTGTAAAATATTACGTTTCTCTCTCGAGAAACTCGATGGCGCAGGTGGTTAGCGCGTTCGGCTGCGATCGTTGAGATTAAGCCACTTTCGCAGTGGTCGGTCATTGGATGGGTGACCAAAATGATTCTATCTCGAGTTCCTCCGTGCTTCGGAAAGCACGTTAATCCACACTGGGCGCGCGTGGTGTGTCATGGCTCAATCTCCCTATTCCATCTATAGGGAAGGCCTGTGCCCAGCAGTGGGAACATTAATAGGCTGATGATGAAGATGATGACGTTCTAAATACGACTATAACTGCTATTAGTTTAATTTTCGTTTTAAATGAACTTCAACTTCGTTCTACTGATACTCTTGCATTATCTCTTCCTCTCTTTCACTCTGGCTATATGTCTGATACCTTTGCCCCCCAATCTTCACGACTCTGGAACAGCCTCCCTGACTCCGTTAGAAGGTCACCTACTAGGTGCAGTTTTAAGAAGAAAGTTCATGAACTTCTCCTGGAAAGCTAAGAACGTTAAGTTTAACTCACAATTTCCCTTCACAGTCTCATCATCAATATATTTTATAAACGGTGTTAATAATAATTATGTCTATGTATGTGTATGTATATATATATATATATTATAAATATTTATATAAGTAATATATTTAAATGTATTCTATGCATGTATATTTAGGTTTATTTTTAAATAAATATTTATGTAGTTACTTTTACTGGTGTATGTTTAAAGTAAATCACTTTTTTTTTATTATTATAGCCGCATTCGTGGATTCCTTTATGCCTAAAGGTTGACTGGCAGAGAATGCTTTTAGCCTTAATTCCGCCTTTTGTCCATTTTTGTAATTGTGGCAATAAAGTTTAAATAAATAAATAAAATAAATAAATAAATGAGGTCATTCAATGTACCTTTGTGTATAGTAATAACATTTACCTTGCTTACCTAATACCTACAACACTATTTGTCTTTATACTGTATGACAAAGCAATCAAAATGCAGCCAAACAATAAATGTTCATTTTCACATTATGTATGATTCAACTTGACGACTCTGTAAATAAGTCTTATCGCCTTAGCGATAAGGCCGCCTATAGTAACACTTGATTTAAATGGCTCTGTATTTATTGTAATGTTTTTTCTATGGTGTAAAATAAAGTGTTTTGTATTTTAAATAATAAAATAGGCAGAAAAAATAGCCCTTGCTGAGTTTCTTGCCTTTTCTTCTCAGTACAAGGTCTCCTGCCGTAAATTTACGAACAGAGATGGGGCAGCTTCTAGACATTCATGAGTGCTTGTAACAGCCTAAACTGAATAAATTATTATGATAATTTCATAGTAAGGGCGAGTCTCCACCGGACGTGTTTTGTGGGGCAACAACCCGGTCTTTCTCCGACAGAGTTCCGACTTCCGAACGCCCCGCAGAAACTTCACCCTATACTTAATTTACTCTTCAGCTTCAAGGAGATTCGTGAAAATGTTCACATGTATTTAATGTTCTATAACTATACAAGCTTAAAAGCTATAACGCAAAAATAAGTTACTCCGTGATCATGGCGCTTGCAACAGTGCCGAAATATCGGAGACTCATAAAAAACCAGGTACATGGTAACAATCTCGTTAATAGCTATAGTGACTATGAAAGTTTAAAACTATATATGGCTTGCCTGATGGTAATCGGCCACCATAGCCTATAGACGCTTGTAAAACCAAAAATATCACTCGCGCCATTGCCTACCCTGATACAATCCTCTACCCCGTGGAGCCCTGGGGGCCAATCGCCTAACGGAAATGCTTTGGGAAACGCTAACGCTTACGATTTTATATTGTTATTTCTAGCCGCCTGAGGTTTTCGAATACCTCACGCTCATTTTTTTTAATATTGTTATTACCATTTTTTTTTTTAATATTGTTATTACCAGAGTTCGATGGCGCAAGTGGTTAGCGCGTTCCGCAGCGATCGTTGAATTTAAGCAACTTTCGCAGTGGTCGGTCATTGGATGGGTGACCATAATTTACTATCTCGAGCTCCTCCGTGTTTCGGAAGGCACGTTAAGCCGTTGGTCCCGGCTGCATCTGCAGTCGTTAGCACCCACCAACCCGCACTGGGCCCGCGTGGTGGGTCATGGCCCAATCTCCCTATTCCATCCATAGGGAAGCCTGTGCCCCAGCAGTGGGGACATTAATAGGCTGATGATTGTTATTACCAATGCAAAAGAAAAAGAAAGAGCGCGGGGCATTTGAATACCTCAGGCGACCAGAAATAACAAAATAAAATCGTAAGCGTTAGCGTTTTTCAAAGCATTTCCGTTAGGCGATTGCCCCCTGGAACCTTACTCAAAGATAGAGGCACAACACCAACAAAAGCTATTTTACTTCTGCACGATGGAGGTTACTTCTCCAGACAGGCGCTCCAATTCGCGCGGAAAATGCCCTACCTCTCTTAAGATCAAATCAATCCATCTTTTTTTTTAAAGATTTTGAAAAATGACGGTTTTTAAGAAAAAAAAAGTTGCACACATATAAAATACGCTGAATACTTACCTGCCTTTACACATCAGTTACGGTTCTTTTGCACTTCAAGCCTTTCGTGCGGGAAAGAGCAAGCATTTAAAGATGGAAAAGAAAAACGATAATGTGCATTTTTATCATTAGCGGCCGAGTCATTCTATGTTTTTCTTTCGATTCTAGTCCAGCATTAGATAAGAGTGATGATAACCTTCAAATAAAGGTTACTTTTATCAAATTCTGATCAATTTTCCACTGTAAAATTTAAGTGAAAACAAACATTCGACATTGCGCTAACAACCAGAAACAACGAGATAACGAAGAGGACGCAGACGCCTTGATAATCGGTGTGCAAGCCACTCGACTACAGAGTCCATCTGGCAGGCTTTGTTTTTGTGGTGTGAAATAAATCGATGTATCATAGAAAAAAAAAATGCCATCATTCACACCAATTAGCCTAGCCCCAAAGTAAGCACTGAAAGGCTTGTGTTATGGGATACTAGGGTAACGGATAGAATACATTATACTAATAGATACCTATTTGACGACCTCCGTGGCCGAGTGGTTTTAAGCCAGGTTTTATGGTGTTGCCAACTCGAGAGGTCCCGGGTACGAATCCCGGTGGGGGCAGATGTTTGTGTGATGAATACGAGCATTTGCACTCCAGTCATGGATGTTTAATATGTAAATGTATATAAATATACTTATATATGTACAGTATACTCGTATGTATTCTATCCGTTACCCTAGTATGCCATAACACAAGTCTTTCAGTGCTTACTTTGGGGTTAGGCTAATTGGTGTGAGTGTTGGAATATTTATTTATTTATACACACCGTGAATTTTGAGTAGCCTGAGCAACTTTACCAGATAATAGAGACAAAGATTTAGGCATTATTTCCTCAAAAAAAAATTGTTTTTCCAATTATTTTTTTCAAAAATGTCTACGTTAACACAGTAATTGTACACTTATGAATTATGAAACCTTAACAATTTTAAATGTCATTGATTGATGTAAAAATAAAACAACTTTATGATCTACGTACTTTAAACGGCTAAAAATTGCATAATAAGTATGTTATCTACAAAATTGGTCCGGTTTTAAGATATTTTGTGAACGATTTTTATAAATCAATATTTTTATATAGGGGTATAGTGTGTTTACTGTTTATAACTGTTCACACTATTTAATTTCCATGATTTTGAAGTTTCTCAGGTAATTCAAAATTAAAGGTGTATATATTTTATGTTGAAATACATATAAACACATCAATGACTTAGGTACAAAAGCTCGTATTCATAATAATAATGATTTATTTCCAAATTTCACAACAATTTTACAGAGGTTCTAGCCCCCCCACTAGGCTTAGCCTGTCTTGACATAGTCATACTAACATTTTCCCCACCGGGATTCTAACTGGGAGCTTGGCACGGAGGTCTTCTATTTATCTAATCTACTTAATATCTGTGTACTCATTTGGTTTATGTAGGATAAGATTTGGGTTTTCTGAGAAACACACTTTTCTAATGCCAATATATGCCATAAACCAATGCTATGATATTTTAGACACCGAAATCTTCCAACAGTGTAGACTTTTAACAAATATAGTGTTAAAAGTACATGTTCCAAAGTATGACTAAGTATTAGATAGTAGGATAGCATAATGCAAACAGTTTAAATCAGCGAACGTAAACACCGCAATGCAGCTGATTGTGATTCGCGTCAACTGAGAACCAACGTACCCGATAAAGACTTATCAATTAACGCAGTCTTACACTATATAAGAGGAAGCAAGCGATGGCAAAACATTAGTACCGCAAATCAGTCATTCAAAATGGTATCAGACTTCAGAAAGAAGAAGCTATTGCACGTGTTCACCGCGTTCTTTGACACCAACAAGAGTGGCAGTATAGATAAGAAAGATTTCGAGTTAGCCGCAGAAAAGATTGCAAAGCTGAGAGGATGGAAAGAAGGGGATGCGCCCTACAAAAAGGTGCAGGAGTCTCTAACAGCTATATGGAATGGTCTCCAGAGTGGTGCTGACGCTGACAAAGACGGCCAAGTATCAGTTGACGAATGGAACACGATGTGGGAGAATTTCTCGAAGAATCCAGCAGGCGCGGCTGAATGGCAAAGACTGTACGCTAAGTTCATCTTCGAGTTAGAAGACGCTAGCAATGACGGGGCTATCGATAGTGAGGAGTTCTCTTCTGTATACGCTTCCTTGGGCCTCGATAAAGCAGAGGCTGTCGCAGCCTTCGGTAAAATGGCGCAAGGAAAGCCGAATATCACCTGGCAACAGTTCCAGGTGCTGTGGAACGAGTATTTCGCGTCTGAGGATGTGAACGCACCCGGCAACTTTATCTTCGGCAAAACAAACTTCTGATTTGCTCACAGTAAATAATTTATGTTTGCGTTTGACAAGGTTTTGATGCAATCTAGCGTTGTGATATTATCTGTTTGCGATGTTTAACTGATAACTGTAAGTGAATGTGGTAATTTTAGATTTCAATTGTTGAATGTTGTTTAACTTGAATGGATTTTTTTAAGAATTGATGGATGTTGTCATGTATTATTTATTTTTGAAGAATAGAATAAATAAAGATTTCTATTATTTTTTTCAATTTACAATTGTGTTTCAATCAAAAATAGCTGAGAGGTTCCTTGTTATGAAAAACTTTAGTAGCAGATTGCAAGTTCATCTCCTAGACTCGTTTTCGAAATTATTGTTAAATATAGTTGGAAATTGGATAAAAGGAGGATAACATCTTGTTATTTCAGTATCGCTGTAACAACTCGTTTAGTTTTCACTTGCTTCAAACTTAACCATAAACAAATATTGCATCCTAACATCCCCTCTCAATATTTTGATGGTTAAAGGACAATGTTAAAATTGGCCTAAGAACCAACACCAATTTGGCATTTAAGATAATTCTTAGTATATTTTTTGCGATAATTATCAGTATTTAGATTGTGACGGACACTTCCAGTTAAGTAAGCTAAATTAAAAAGTTAAAAAATAATCTGAGACAATAAATACCATTTTATGTGTATAATCTATGGCAGCGCTGCAAACAAAACACTCTTTCTTCCTAATGCGGGCACTTCACTTGGTTTTGGTATTTGCTATTTTAAAACATGACATCAGTCTGTCTTTTTCATTCCTTATGAAGCATGACAAGGACAAACTGTTGTCAAGTGAAGGGCCGGCATAAAACTCGTTACTCTGTGGTTGTGGTGCTTGCAGTTTGCATTTGTAGTAATCTGTGGCATTCGTGCATTCCAAAAAGTAGTTTATTATACCGGAAAGTGCTTTATCGTTTCGGACTACCTGTTATGTGTGTTTATTTGCGATTGTTTTCCCTTTAATTTAACTATTTTGGCTATCTAATATGCCATCGATGTTACCAAGAGCAGAGCCCTTATTACCAAGTGCTAGTGAACCTGTGCCACAACATCCTGAGAGGATCATACGGCCAAATTATTCAAGAACACCTTATACACATTCACGCGACATATTGACACAATATACATGTGATATACAAATAAATACAATAAACAATATGATACAATTATGTGAATAATAGTCAATAAATAAGAAGCAAAACTACAGTTTTTATTTTATTCATGATTCCTACCTTACCAAGTTTTTCCTAATAGTTATTCTTTAAAATCGCACCGAATAAAATGAAGAGTTCATACTGAATTCATAGGTTGACCTATGTTTCATTGAATATCGGTTTTCCTAATAATTTAAGTGTCCGTCAATAATCCTTGTTTTTCCTGTCATTTACTTATGATTTTGAACCTAGAAAATAATATTTCATGATTGTTGGTTCTTAGGCTAACTATGTATGGACCCTGAACAATGTCCTTTACTTTATATGACGACGTAACGCATAACAACATTTATAATATAAATAAACACAAAATTAACATAACATACCTACATAAAAAAAATTAACAGATAAATAAACATTGCAATTAAATATCAAATTTTTCTTTACCTAAACTTTTCGTCATAACATCTGCCAAATTATCGTGCGTATTTACATATTCTATGCTTAATATTATGTTATGCACTATATCTTTCAAAAAATGGTACTTTATATCTATATGTTTCGTTCTACTCGTTTAATTTTCACTTGCTTCAAACTTAACCATAAACAAATATTGCATCCTAACAATTATGGTGACTGTCTCAACAGGCACCACCACCACAAAATTATGGTGTCTGTCTTAACAGTCACCACCACCACAAAAAGATGGTGTTATTATACTGATTTTGCCAAGTTTCAACAGTATAATAGTTCTTATAGTTTCGGAAAAGAGTGCCTGTGACATACGGACGGACAGACAGACAGACATGACCATTCTATAAGGGTTCTGTTTTTTGCCATTTGGCTATGGTACCCTAAAACCCTGGTGTCGGCTTTTATGTTTTTTTTAAAATAATAAATATTTCCAACACTCACACCAATTGGCTTAATAGTACAGTCAATCTGTCGAAAAAAATATCGTTTCAGTGAAAAAAAAACCTAAAGGATAAGTCTTGTTTTTTCTGTTGCCAAATGACGTCAGGAAGCCACCTTGGCGATGGGCATGTTCAACTCGTAGGCGTTTTTTGAAAAACTCAAAAAAGCCGTCAAAAATTTTTTGAAACGAATTTTTCTTGTTTTGTATGCATTTTAGAAACTTTTTTTTTGACCATAATTGTAGAGGGCATTGAGTGCTACAATTTATGTCATTGTTGCAATCTCGTACAACAAAAAATGCGCATTGTAGGTGGCGCTAAAGTCTCAAAAAAAGTGTTATTTCACTTTTTCACCCTGAAAATATCATTTTAATGGAAAACTTTAAATCGCTAAGTTGTTTCGTACATAATTACCAACAACTTTTCTATAAATATTTTTTTTGTATTACTTACCGTTTTCAAGTTATAAATTGCGCAGGTATGAAAAATTCAATAGAGCGGTTTTGGGCAGTTCAAGTACACATTTGCAGTGCACATTTCAATGTACGTTTATACTATTTTTTTTATTCAATCATGAAAAAAAATAAAAATAAAACAATTGTTTTATTTTTATTTTATCATGAAAAAAAATAAAAATAAAACAATTGTTTTATTTTTTTTCATGATTGAATAAAAAAAATAGTATAAACGTACATTGAAATGTGCACTGCAAATGTGTACTTGAACTGCCCAAAACCGCTCTATTGAATTTTTCATACCTGCGCAATTTATAACTTGAAAACGGTAAGTAATACAAAAAAAATATTTATAGAAAAGTTGTTGGTAATTATGTACGAAACAACTTAGCGATTTAAAGTTTTCCATTAAAATGATATTTTCAGGGTGAAAAAGTGAAACAACCCTTTTTTTGAGACTTAAGCGCCACCTACAATGCGCATTTTTTTTGTATGAGATTGCAACAATGACATAAATTGTAGTACTCAACGCCCTCTATAATTATGGTCAAAAAAAAAGTTTCTAAAATGCATACAGAACAAGAAAAACGCGTTTCAAAAAATTTTTGACGGCTTTTTTGAGTTTTTCAAAAAACGCCTACGAGTTGAACATGCCCATCGCCAAGGTGGCTTACTGACGTCATTTGGCAACAGAAAAAACAAAACTTACCCTTTAGGTTTTTTTTTCACCACTCAACCTACAGATTGACTGTACTATAACCCCAAGCTAAGCACTATAAGGCTTGCGTTATGGGATACTAGGGTAACGGATAGAATACATATGCTGTACTTAAATAAGTATATTTATATAGAAATACATATTAAACACCCATGACTGGAGTACAAATGCTCGTATTCATCACACTAACATCTGTCCCCACCGGGATTCGAACCCGGGACCTCTCAAGTCGGAAACCCGGCGTACAAACCACTCGGTCGGCTTAGGAGGTCGTCGACGTGTATATGCTATATAAATATAGTATATCAAAATTTGTATGGCGTTGTTCTTTTTTATCATAATTAGCTATAAATCCCCAGATTAATTACTTAAGGGTGTTAAACCCCGTTAATTCTTTGTGCGGAGGAAGAGGTCAAGATCGGCCAGATTTAAGGGGGTCGCTCGAAAATAAAAATAATTTAACAAAACTGGAATAAAAGTGGACATTTGGTTGGGGCGACGAGTGCTAATTACAGAGTAAATTATTGTGAACACGCAGGCTTGGAACATAAGAGAAAGCGGAAATGAGACATTAGGAATATTTTAGCACTGCATAGACTTTATTAAGTTACTATCAAGACCAACAGATACTATTAGTTCTTTTTGTTTGCATAATTTAACATAAGAAGGAGATAGAAAGCCTCTCTTGAGTTTGTTTCGCCGGTTCTTCTCAGGAAGGTCTCCCAATTTTGGAACCGGTGGTAGTTTACGCTAGTTAGTGTCAAATAAATAAACTCAAAATTACAAAAAGAATTTTAAATAAAGTACTTTATTAACTAAATTAAGTAATAAATTCACACATAGGCAATAAAAATTTTAAAAATCGAACTATGAAATAACCGAATGCTCAATAAAAAGTCTTTCGAAGGTAGCTCGACAAAATTAAATAAAATTTGATTCTGACGACGTAGCCTGTAAAGGCTACGAAACGTCAATAAACAAATAAAGTTTCGTGCATTAACCCGTAAATACTAGTTTTATTTTATGAGTGATGTGCGTGAAAACAAATAAGCTACTATCATCATCATCTTCATTAGCCTATTAATGTCCCCACTGCTGGAGCACAGGTCTTCCCTATGAATGGAATAGGGAGATTGGGCCATGACCCGCGTGGTGGGCCCAGTGCGGATTGACGGGTGCTAACGACTGCAGATGCAGCCGGGATCAACGGCTTCACGTGCCTTCCGAAGCACGGAGGAACTAGAGATAGAAGATTTTTGGTCACTCATCCAATGACCGACCCCTGCGAAAGTTGATTAACTTCAACGATCGCACTAACCACCTGCGCCATCAAGCTCCTCCAAGTTACTTTGTTGAACCTATAAACGTAAAAATGCAAAATGACTGTTCTGCGTAATGAAGGTTTTTTAATGTTTATGCAGGCAAACGAGCTGACAGTTCACCTGATGATAAAAAGTCACTGCCGCCCATGGACACTTGCAGCACCAAGGGCACAACTCATACGTTGCCGGCTCTGAATGAAAAGGCTTACCCGCCTTTTGAAAACCGCCAGAGAAGTTTAGGAAGGCCAAAGGGGAAGATCTTCCTCTGAGCTGGGTGATGGTAGCTCGGAGGTCACAGCCCCGATGATCTCGGTCAGGCATTGCATATATGAACTGTTTGCTGCCAAATTCACTTGCGCGATGCAGGCTTTCATACTATTCGAGTGCAGCGTCTCTGGAAGAGGCGGGTGATTATTTCCTCAATTTTTAATATTTTCGAGGCATGTAGATGTCGTTTAGAAATTAAAATGTTTTCTTAGTTCATTTGTTACTAGATTGTGTGTTGAAAGAGAATGGGATTTAGATTGGAGGGCGCTGTAGTGCTTTTCTACCGTATTTGTAAGGTTTTACCCCTTTTAGACATTATTAAATACAAAAAAACCGCAAAAAATCACAACAACAAACAAATCCGTATCAATACAAAACTTTGACGTTTTACAGATTGCTGGCTTTGATTGCCAAATAAATATCTTAATGTTAGTTCCGTTTTTCGCCACGCCCATTCTATTTCCGCACGGACTCTATTTTATTTCTTATCAAATAATAAAATATCTACAATTCCGCTTATGAATTGGACTAGAAGTCGTCGCGGCTCAGTATTTATGATCGGTGTTATTACAGTAATCGGCGGTACAATCTTCACCTTTATAATATGATCTCTACTCGTTTACCTGCCGCAGGGTACAGTAACTAAGCAGGAAGTACCTACCGTATTCCTGCTATCCAATTTATTTTGCTTGTCTTTAACTGTTGTGTATACTTTTGAACGGAAAAAGGCGTGTGCGTCTTGAAGACGCACGACAGAAGTGATAACTTAAACTTACGGCGCTGTGGGTCAGAGTGAGAGAGGTGGAGTATCTAGATAGGAAAGTTAATAGGTGAAAAGGGGATTGGAGGGTGAAAAGGGATTCGAGAATGGAAAGGGGATTCGAGCCTGAAAAGGGGGATTGGAAGGTGAAAGACATTCGAGGGTGATAAGGGGATTGGTAGGTGATAATAAGGGATCGGTGGGTGATAATAAGGGATCGGTGGGTGATAATAAGGGATCGGTGGGTGATAATACTAAGCACCACTAAGCATACGTAGTACTGACAATAAGTTTAAGTTCAAATATCTTGTGCGTGAACACTACCTGACTAAGTGATTTTTCCCTATAGTTTGCATCGATATAATATATATATTATATTTATTGTATTTTATGTATGTTATGCATATGTATGTATATATATATTGTTAGCAGAAGACAGTGTTACGTTGTGAAGTGGAAGGGGTCGTTCTATATAAGCGAGAGCGCGCGCTGTTCGGGGTCACTTACTGTTGAGAGCTCGTGCTAAGCGGAAGCTCTACCCGTTTGTCGGTCGGATTGCCTTATTGTCAATAGAAAATATTTCTGTAAATCTAGTTAATTATCGTAAAAGAAAAATAATTGTATAAGAGTGAAATAAAGGGTGGTTTGTGTAACTGTTTTCTTTTTAATAATTTCCTCTTCTGATCGCTAAGATCAGAAGTGGGATACTTAAAATTCGCGCGTCCTGGTTCGTTCTGCTTCCTGAAGAAAATAAGGCAGTTCGATATTTCAAAAACAATCTTTTTATTTAACGGTTTGTGTATTTATCGTCGTAAAAAACGAACATTCGTGATTATTTTGTGAGTTTTTATGTAAGTAAGTGATATGGTGGTGTGATTATAACTACAATGGTTGGCATCGTTGGAAGAACAGCACCATCCACCACAACGAAGGGAGTCGAATGTGAGCACTCCTCGGGCACCGGCTCCGGTAACCGAGCCTGCAACGCCGCCGCGCGCGACTATGGCCGACCCCGCGATCTCGCTTCAGGGGCGTGCAGAGCGACCGCCTTCGGTGATCACATCTTCACCGGGACGCTCTGCAGGCGTCGTGGTGGACCACTCCAGTGCTGCCGATCGCATTATCGATGCGATACGC